TGAAATGGGAAAACCCCAGGTACAGGCTGTAAAGAGATTTACTGGTTGAACAAGGACAATAATTGTTGTGGATGGCCAATTGTCCTTTATGTTTGATTATTGCTCAACCGTTGATTGGTACTCAGTTGTTAGAATGGCACACCCCCTTAAATCCCTGGGACTCGTTTACCTTGTCGACTATCTGACAGTCTCCAGATCTATTTTATCTGCTACTTTAAGTTTGAATAGTGCAGTACTTACCTTTAACCTCGTCATCATAACCATATGATGGGTGTTCTTTTAATAACTGAAGAGCCTTTTGAGAAAATAAATAAATAAACTATGTGAGAACTCAAGGCAGCAACTCATTGGGAATCAAATTTTGAGGTTAGCAGCATTTTGCTCACATCTTACTTCTGGGTTCTTAAGTGAGTTAGTCATGTGAGTTAGACATAGCCTATCTGATCGGCCAGAGGTTGATCTGTGAGTTAGCTGTGMCCAGACTTAGATCAGTCCAGAGTTGTTTCAGGGTTCAATCTGTGAGTTATCCCAGCCCTGACTTATAAATATCATCTTCCCAGAGGATTTTTCAGGGTTGGTAAATTTTGAAGTTTTTTTGCTACACAGTAATTTCAAAAGCCCTGACTGTCAGCCCAACCAAGGATTGAAACACAGATCTTCAAACTCAAAAGGCCAATATTAGACTAAGATAATTCGGGGAGATAACTGTTGGAAGGGAATAAGAGAATGAGGATTTACTCATTCAAAGAAAAACACATAAAATAAAAAATAATAGTGTAGGAAGTCAGTGTGGTATGTGTTTCAAATAAACCATGACATATTACTCCTTGTTCTCATTGGTTTCTTTTGTCTTGTTCTTAGTATATACTGTAAACACTCCTTTCTACCACCTCTCTCTCTTTTACTCTGACGAAGGACTAGCATTCGAAATGTCATTTTTTCACAGTATAAAATTTACCCTTTTATCATGACTATTGTGTTTGTGGGTTTGATTCGCTGACCTTCTATCTTATGTGACATGAGAAGAGTTACTGTTAATTCTGTTCTAAACTTTGTTTGAGTTCTCTGTCTGTCCGTCCACCATATCTTACATGTAGGATCAGGAGACTAAGCAGTCTAACTTACTCTTCAACAAAAATAAATTAAGTATTTTGATCCCCCTTCATAATATAGCATAATGTTTCACAATGTGCCATTCTCTCCCTCACCACAAGGATTTTTCTCCGGGTTCCCCAGTTTTCCTCCCTCAGTAAAAATCAAGATGTGAGTTGGGAGTTGTGTGCTTCAAATATTAAAATTAATGTAGTGGCAGTGAGTGTTGATTGACCTTCTCGGCTTGGGTGTAATGTTGTCCGATTTCAGACCACATGTCATTCCCTTGAGAATTAGATTCTTTGTTGGAGTTGTAATCCATATTCATGTGTCTTCTCATGTGCATCGGAGCGTAACCATTAAACAAAGAAATGATACTCTAGGGAATGACATGTGGTCTGAAATGGGACAACATTACCCCGAGCCGAGGAGGTCTTTTGTGTCGTATATTTTAACCTTAGCCTCTGGCAAAGAAGACTCGGCAATGACTCCCCATATTCCAACATAAAATAACTTAAGAGATCTTCTTATCATTTTATAATCAATTTGTGATACTAACCTCTGCCCATAAGGTTCTATGACTAATACTTGTCATGCTATTATAGACTCGCAGCATCTTTTCTCTGTTGTTGGCTCTAAGCTCTTTCTCTTCTTTTTTCTCTCGCTTGGCCAAAAAGAATATCACATCGTCAAAGACATCCTTTCTGTCCCTTTCATTCACTGCTTCCCATTCTGGCGTTCCTTCAAACATGTCACATGCATAACGCCATCTCACAGAAGAATTCATCTTTTTGTAGTTTTCAAGAAATGTTCGCAGTTCTTCTCTAGCTTTCTTTGCCTTTCTTCTGTGTTCTTCCTGAAKTTTAAAAAAGCAATGCCTTGATCTTTAATTTTGAAATGTGCAGGGGGCTTAATTTGCAAAAAATAAAACTCCAGTTTCAAGTTTTCTGTTGCTTCGGGCTAGCCTCGATTTGGTGCAAAATATTCACAAAAATTTCAAAGTGGTTGTATTGTAAAGTCGTGCATTCTTTACTTTAACATATAGTATTTGTGAATAAGGGAAGCATGGATGGCGTAGCGTCTCACCAATGCGGCCTGGGTTCAAGTTCCAACGAGCTCAGTGTTGTATGTAAGTAGAGTTGTTTGTTGGTTCTCTTCTGTGCTTCAAGGGTTTTTCTCTGGGTTCTCCGGGCTTCCCCCCTCCACAAAAAACAAATACTAAATTCAATATTTCCTTTCACACTCACTGATGCAAATAAATTAGTGTTTTGTTTGTTGTTGTTGTTTTGTTTTGAATATTTAGACACTGGTTTGAAGCCAACCCTGAGTAAATGAGTTTGTAATCAAGGAAAACAGCAGTAATTTGAAACTGTCTCCAAGCTGGCCTATTAAAACTAAAAGTGTTGTCAAGGCAATAAGAATACCAATATCAATCCAGGAGGCTCAAATCCCCGTAGGGTTTTCCATTGAGACCCTGATAAATAAAAACTGCCCTCTTGTTTCCCTCAGGCATTCCCCCCCCCCCCCCCCCCCCTAAAGTTTTGCTTCGGCAGGGATATAGTTATACAGAGGGTGGTGGACATCACAAACGTCCATAGATTAAATACCCTTAAAATGGAGCATTGATTGATGGATTGGGAAAATAAGTGTCTAGATTTACTGTGAAMACCCATCTTGCTCTATGGAAATACCTTTTCTTCATTAGCTCTTTGAGTCTTGTATTCATTAAAAGCTTGTTTCTTTTCATTCATTTTCTTCAGCGCACCATATCTTGGATCATTRACAATCATTCGCATGGCTGTGTCCCATGATGCACTGGGAGATACCTCCTACAAGCCGACAGAATATAGCGATTTTAGTTGACTAAACTTTAATAAATCCTGCATTGTGATTGGCTTAATGTTGGGCTAAAAATGACAACCTGTCATCAAACAACGCCTAGCCAAAATTGCAACTTGTCGGGTCAAGTCTTTTCCTTGCCAGTCATTTTCACAAGTACACTGGAACATTGATCCAAAAACAAGGTTTGAAATTGTTATGGCAGATGGGATATGGATGCTTAAAGAATTTGGCAAAAGTGAAAAAGTTGGGTTATCAGAAATTTTGAACTGTCACCTTTTCTCGTAGTAACTCCTTGAAGGCCTGCTTGGCTTCTTCTTTAGTTTCATAAATATACTCTTTTTTCTCTACCACTGTCTGTGTAGGGGTTTCACTGCCGCCATCAGTACTAACATTAGTAAATTGTAAAAAGTTAAAAAAAAGTATAAATGTGTGTT